ATTTAATTGACTAGGTTATCTGAGAAATATTTTCCTGTCATTACGGCATGGTGTAAAGAAACTTTATTACCGTTTTTGGATGTTTGTTTGAAGAAACTCTCAGCAAGTCTTGTACTTTTATGGGACAGTACAATTGAAATAAGAACATGGTGTAATCATACACTGCCTCCAGTACTAACTGTAGTGAGTGCTTTTTATTAAATCTACAGATATTGATTTTGTTTTTTGACAACATATGTAAAGTTTAACTGTTATCAAAAAATCAATTAAAAAATTTTTTTTTGAAAGTTATTGTTGATAACTCAAATGTTTTAAAATATCCTCTTTTCAACTTTCAAAATAATTGAATATCTAATATGGAATTAGATATGAGGTAACAGAACAGTTACTTTGTTAATAGCAAGTAACAAATTTGAATCTATTTCACCAATTTTAAAGTCCATTTTATAGAATATTGAGGATTATTTCATACATTAAATTTAACTAAGCCTCTATGCCCTTTCTTATCATGAAGTTTAAAGGGAGTAAAATGTTAGTTCTGGTGGGGTTTATTCATGTCATCTGATCATAATATAACACTGCTAGATTTATTGCTTGTAACCCATTAGGTAGTTAAAATATACTGCCAATAATTAGAATAAAATCTAATCCAGAATTGGAAAGTTAGCCTGGGGGATGACTCTATTTTTGGTTATCATGAATGTGAAATAATTAGAAATATATCTGATGGCTTTAGGATATAAAATATGTAAGATTCATACACTAGAGAAATTAAAGATGTCCTTTTAATGCATAACTATTGTGTGCAACTTCATACTGGTCTGATGGACAGTTTTTTTAATGATGAAGAATGATACAAATGGATTGGTCAGAATGTTCTTGTAGCGGTATCTATATAAACCAGTAATAGACATCACACGAAGATGATCATTTTGGTGTGATCAGTAAAGTACTGGCGTTTGTGGATCAGATGGTACCCAGATCGAATCTTTCTACATTGGTGACTCGAACCATATTTTCCATAGCAGAATAGATTTCTGGTGATGAATTTATTTCAAAAATTTTATCTGCCATAACTGACAAATTTTCTAAATTTTCCGAACTAACAACTAAAATATTTTTGATGGAGTCCGGTAATTTATCTAGCCATAAGGTACTTCAAACTTTTTCAGAGATATTAACTCCAGCCAATGATTTCATTTTTCTCAAAAGTTGACTGGGTTTCATGTCACCTAATGGGATTCCAGTAAGCCATTTTTTTAATACATTTTTCATCACTTTCCTTGAAAGTTCTTAAAAGTCTATTTTTAGCACAAGAATATTTATTTTTTTCATCACTTTGAATATCTCATATTTTTTATGAATTTTGTATCTAACTGCGCAACAAGATAATTAAACTTAGTTTCTTCTTGTTTAATATTAGCAATGGTAAACTGAGTTTCAACTTGGAAGAAAAATATTTCAGGCTTTTCTTCCCAAAAAGGAGGAATTTTCACACTTATTTGCGTCGAATTTTTCCTCATTCGAATTTGCGAGAACCATTTCATTATTCTCATCCATCATTTGAATATGTACAGGTCACCAGTTTGTAGATGAGTTAGCCACAGGTATTATATGGGATAAATAAAATAATTTAGAATTAATTCATCCTTTTTAAATGATGAAAAATAACAGAAGAAAACCATTTTAGATCATTAAGCTTTTTATTAATGTTCTTACATCGTGCTACATTGTCAACAACTTTTTGTTGCCAGATCAGGAAAACTAAATTTATAAAAACAAGGATAATATATAAATAGAGCCGCAATGTTCTCTCAACTTGAACAAAGCAGAACATGTTTTGGACATGCTAGATGTATAAGTTACTGTCAGCTTATCTTTCCCATAAATGGTGCCACTTTGGGAAAGATTTCTTTTGAGGAGTGGGATGGGATACTTCAGTCTTTTTCATTAATAGTTAGATAGGCTTTATGTTTAACAGATGCGTATAACATTACTGTCCATTAGGAGAAGCTTTATCCCATTTGAAAATGGATTCTTTGTCAAGAAATTTAACATTTTTTTTCTATTACACAAATTGTATACTTTCCACTTTACATGTCTAAAAACTGTAATAAAATATATTTTTCTTTCATCCATGATTCATTTCATTTTATTTTTATAGCACTCTACAACTGTGAATGTTTATCAAAAACTTTTAACTTTTTTGAGCATTCTGTTCTTATACAAATATTTATAATTGATCTCAATCATTTAATGTTTAAAATGCAGGTTTTTTTTCATGTTATTTGTATTAAATTAGTATTATGCTTTAATTAGGTTGAGAAGCAATTTGTTCTGTATGGTTCTGTCTTCTGGAATATGGCTAAAAGTTCAGCTGTAATTTTGTCCAAAATGACACTCAGTGCTTTAACATATGTTTTTAATTCTGCTGACTCTCTTGCAACATGGATTCAGTCTAGCCCTGAAATGTAAGTATTCCATGAATGTATTTAAATATTATTGTACACTTGTTTTATTCTATGAATGTTATAAAAAACTTTATTATAAAAAAGTATAAAGGAAAAAAAATACTTGTATATTAATTTTTATTTTGTCTGAAAGTAAAGTATCATATAATAGTCATTAATCATGAGCTAATGTATAATGCCTTTTTTAAAATTCTGTTATAATATACCTCTGTAAAGATTTATTTACATTTGTGTCAGTTCCTACTATTAGGTCGCTCCCTTCCTATATATGTAGTGGTCAGAATAAGTATTCGTCATGCGACGATTTCTGCGAATATTGAAGCACCTTAATATGCAACAACAACAAATCCATGTTTCAATATTTGTTGCACATAACTGTTCAGTTTCTAATGTAGAAGATTTTGCATTTACTAAAACAAACCTAAGCAAAAAACTCACCATTATAATTTTCAAAAGCAGTTTGGCAAGCAAAATAAGTATTTGACTTAGGAAGCTTTGATAAATTTTTATACCCAGAAGCAAAAATACCATTATGTATGGTTGCAAGTTTTAATAATTCAAAGCAATTGGACTATTTCTGAGGGCATTTAGAAGATTTTATTTAAGCAATGAGCAAGATGGGCCAAAAGTAAGAAGAATTATCTGTGGAAATTAAAAATGTAATCATAATACACTTTAAAAATGAGATATTTGAAAACAAAATCTTGGCAATTGTAAATAGTCCAAGAACAATATAATTAAAGTATAAAGAGCAAAAATAGGTTGATAACAAGCAAAGATCTGGTCTACCAAAAACTTTTCCAAAGCAGTGGAGCAATGGCTTGTACATCAAATTAAAAAGGACCCTAAAACCAGTGTATCAATTTTGGCAAAAGTTATTAAGAATTGTTTGGACAGATGTTACGCCCCAAACTGTTAGAAATTACCTGTATAATAATGGATTTACAGCTAAAACTGCTCAAAAGAAGCCATATATATCCAAAAAGAACTGAGTGCAAAGATGGAAATTTCCTAGAAAATATGCAAACAAGCCAGTAGAATTCTGGCACAATGTAATTTTTGCAGACATGAGTAAATTTAATCTTTTTGGGTGCAATGGTAGAAAACACAATGCTGAGTTGAAAGAATGAAATATGGTGTCCACACACAATAAAACATGGAGGAGGTATAATGGTTTGGAGGTGTACGGCTGCTTAAGGATTGGGAAATGTTGTTGTAATTAACAGCATAATGAACCATATGTATTACGTACAGATTTTAAAAGAAAGTTTGGGTGATAGTGCTGAAAACCTAGGAATCATGGAGAACTAACAGTTTTACCATAACCCAAAACACTCCACTCACAATACAAAGCTTTGGCTGCTATACAACTGCCTAAAAGTTAGAAAAACACTTGCCTAAAGTCCAGACCTCAACCCAAATGAACACCTGTGAAGCATATTGGAAAAAAGGTTAAGTGAATGCCATTTTTCCAACAAACATCAAATGGAGATCCTTAGAGAAGAATGGGCAAAAAAATTGACCAAGAGGTGACAGAAAATTTGGTTAAATTGTTGCCACAGCACGTATAATAAATCATCTGTTGTAGTGGAAGAGCAACTATATATTAGTTTTAAATTATTTTCATTGTTTAACAGCCTTTGAATGAAATAATGGTCATTTTGTTGATTTATTACATTTAAACCCTTTATCTACCTATGGCATAAGTACCACTCTTTAAAATTGCATAGAATAACAATTTTTAGGAACACTCTGCTGATACTTAGCAGGAATATTCTTTTAAATCCATTCTTCCTAGATATAGGGCAGCACAGGTTCTATGATGAGTATTTTAGCAGGGAAGGTGAATAGTTTTATAGTAGAAATTGTGTTTTCAGCTGAAGGCGTTTTCAGCGGATTGCGAAGATTGTCATTTTTATTCCAAAAAAATAGGAAATGTCCAAAAGGGGTCATTTTTTTGTATGTTAATGAAGATATTAGGAAAGGATTTGACTATTTATTTTAAGTGAACAGTGTATATCATTAATTTTACAGTGGAATATCTTTTAATTAATTAGCTCTAACGAATTAAATTCCCCAAAATTGAGTATTTTGTGTATGTATATCGCTTAATTTTCAATGTAGTAATAAAAAGAAATATTGCATGAAAAAATGTAGTAGATAAAGGGTTAATGTATTGCAAAAGATGTTGTATGTAATACTTAATGATTTTTGGTTTAAAATCAATAAAAATTGTTTTGTTTTTCTTTACAAATTTTATTTATTAATTCAATATATGCAGATCTCTTTACATGCCAAAGTTTTTTTTTACCTCTGTGCATATATATATATGTAATTTATATATTTATATATCTTATTCAAATTTTCCATCATTAATAAAATACTTTCTATTCATCCATTAAAGTTTAAATACATTTTTTTAAAACTTGTAGTGAATGATTATTCATATATTAATTCATTAATTAATGAATAAATAGTAACAAACAAAAATAATAGTTCTACTACATATATAGAAAAATAGTCCATTGTGTCCCTATAATGTGCAATATGGATAGCGCATTGGACTTCTAATCCAAATGTTGTGGGTTGGAATCCCACCTGGGATGGCCTAATTTCTGAGAATGTGACTTTTTTTAACCTTACTATTTTATTTGAATAATTAAATTGAATTAATGAATAAATAGAGAAGGAAACAAAAATAATAGTCCAGCCCCATATATAGAAAGGAAAATTGCAAGGAAAATCGCTTTCTATTTTGTCATTTAATATTGTGATTCTGTCATATGTATATACATATTCATATTAATTCTAATTATTTAATAAAAAGTATCTAAAATAAAATTTTCTTTGTTGACCTAAGTAGGAATTGACTTAATTTTTTTTTTTATACTACTTGTGTTTCTATAATATACATATTCTTTTCCAGTATGCAGGGCTTGGGAACAATTAAATCATTCTCCATTTCACTTGTTGAAAATCTGCAGAAGAATGCCATTTATCTGTTCCAGTTAGTAAAAAGCTATATTCCTTTATTTGCCACATAGAGAAAGATTTAATAAAGTGAAAAACGTTTATATTTTTCTATTGATATTTTTAGAAATAAAAATAAATTATATTGTAATTATGTGTATGCTTGGTTTATTTAGTTCAAAATACTGAATTTTATTGATTATTTGAAAATGCATTTGGTTTTATTTCTATAGAAAAGAGTAATTCATGTGGATATGTATACCTATTTGTAATGATGTAAAGCTATGAAATATTCTGTATATTCTATAAGTATATCTATGACTTTTTATTCCTTTTCTGAAAAATGCACACTGTATTCAGAGATTGTTATAATTGAAATGTTTTTTAAGTATCTTCTTGATCTATTAAGTACAATAATTTTGAAATTTCATCATAATCAAATATTTGTGGAAATGTAATTTTTTTTCTTAGGAACAGATATCACTATAACTGTATAACTAGAATCAACTAATAAACAAAAAACACAAATAATCTAAATTTAATAAAATTCAATAAAACTTAGCGAAAAAAAAAAGATTATTTGTGTGCATATATGCTTTGTCTGAATGATGAAATGTGAGAATGTGTGTCTGAAACAAATATTTAGAGATAACATTTACAGTTACATTTTTGATGGTTTTTTCCCCTTTTTAATTTACCTTAATCAATATTTGTATATCATGATTCTTAATTTTAAACTATAGTAATGAAAATATTTTTTTTCTCCTTGTATTCCTGCTCTTAAAAAAGGCAGTGGAAACACTTAACAAATTTGATCCTGACTTAGTTCACTGATTTGAATTTAGAAATTTTCAAGTTTCATGTCCTACACCCCAATTCAACAAATAAAACAAATTGTAATATTTTTCCTAAATTAAGCAAGAGCTATGATGATCTATCTAATGATGTCACTTTGTTATCAGGAACTACAAATTGAAAATTTAATGATGTTTTGATACAATACAGTTATGGACGCTACTTGGCATTTTGCATTCAGTGTTTTGTCGAGATAACATATTTGTATTTTTTAAAGTAAATTAATCCTATCTGGTGCAATTTAGCTAAATAGGGCCCTTGTGCCAATGAAACCTAACAGCTAATATTTCTAGGAATTTTATATGACCATAAGGTAGTGTCTTCATGTATTAATTAACTATAGAATCCAAAACATGGAACATTTTTTTAGATTAAAAATTTTCTTCTTGTGACTGTTATAGGTCTTTGGGATTCAAGATTTTTGGCAGTGCAATCTTCCGACATTGAGATATTTTGATTCAAAAGTTAAAATCTAATTCAAATTAAAATTTGAATATTAAAGGAGGCTTCACATTTTAAAACCAACATTTTTTCTCAAAATTTGTCAACAATGTATTTGTGTTTAATTTAATTTTTCATCCATTTTGCAACTCCAAGGTAATTTTTTCTAACCCATAGGTTGATTACCACTGCTATGCGCAATATCACATTAATTCTACATTTTCTATCTAAATTTTTTTCCCTGTCATAAAATAAGTTCTATATTTAATTTGTACCATGAAGCCAAGTAGGTTTTCTGCTTTACATGTTAAAAGGAAAAAGTGTGTATTAATGAAGTATTTTCAAATTTTAATGATGCTGTGTTACATATAATGTGAGTTACTATAGAATTTTTTTTTCTTTCTGTTTTTAATTTGGACTAAACATTAAGAGTTAACGAGCTACAGAATGTCAATCACTGTAAAAAATTAATCAGTTAGTGCACTTGATATGACTTTTTATCCAAGAACATAACTTCAGTGCATTTGATTTGGTATTAATTCACTGACTATTTTTACTGCATGGAAGTTGGACTCAGTGTTCTGTGTTTTAATATATGTTGAATGACATACATGATGAATTTATCTTCAAAGATTCAACCTTTGGCAATCTATTGAGCTCCATCCCTACCCTTCTTCCAGTAAGTAAAGTAAAGGCCGCGATAGCCGAGTGGTATAGGCATCGGATCGTGGCTGGCTTTGTCACGAGTTTGAGCCCAGTACCACTGAAGACCCGCCGTGTAGGGCAGCGATGCACGCTAAATCTGTCAAGAGCTGAAATGTCCTCCTGTTGGTGTGGTGTGGTAGTTAGGAGAGGGGGGTGCCAGCTTAGGTGTCGTCCACGTCACTTGACCATGGTTCAAAATTACGTGGTCCGTCGCCAAAAGCCCTCGTGCAGCTGAACAGTGCGACGTTAATCTTCACTCACTCCAGTAAGTAAAGAAATTAAGTAGTGATCATTTTCTATGATTATTAAAAGTAATGACTTACGCATGAAAGAATGTAATGAAACCTTGCAAAATATATTTTTTTTTCTGATCTTTCATCATATACAAACTCTGCAAGGATCTGAAATTCTTTAGAAGAGGAAGATGCATTGTGAAAAGTAATTCAGAGTAATCTCTGGTTTTGGAATTCCAACTGTCAACACTAAACTAAATTACAAAAACCCCCCAAGTGTTGAAAAATGAACTTCTGTTACATTTTGTAACATTAAAGAACACATTGCTACTATACACGGAAGTGTCAAAATGATAGTTTACTTCTTAGTATCGTGGAATTTTCTTAGAGAATTTTCTTAGGCAACTCGACACATCGATCTACCTAGGAGTCTAGGCGGTTAAATCATTCTCTGTAATCTATACATCTATACATATAAATAAAAATGAAGCGTCTGTTTGTAATTTGAAATTAACAGCTTTTTACTTAATGCATTTAAAAGTATACACGGTACTTACATGAAAAAATCAATTTTTAAAATTTTTGTCCTTCTATCTGTCTTTCTGTCACTCTGCTTGCTCCGGCTAATCTCTGAAGCGGCTGGACCAATTTTGACGAAACCTTCACTGGCAGATAGCTAATGTTATAAGGAATTACTCAGGCTACTATTATTATAAAAAAAAAATTAGGGTTCCGCGAAAATGAAATTAAAACCAATGAAATAGTGGTTGTAACCAATGTAATATCGGTTTCTAATAAGGATTGTTTATTTTAGTTGGGATTATTTTTATTCAATAGGGATTGTTTTATTTTGCGAGCTTTTTGTCTTAACGTTTCTAGAAGTTTTATCAAACTTTTTTGTTTGATAAGGTTACTAAGACTCGCGATATTTCCCGTTCATGTCCGATCCTAATGATTTTAAGTCTTCACTTACCCCTTGCTTGCTGCTTCGTTTCATCCTACCCAGTCCCTCACTCCATTGACAGTGTCAAAGGTCACGAGTACCTCCCCCCCTGCTTTCAGATTCGTTTCACCCTACTGTTACTAAGACCTGTTTTGAACTGTTGCATCATTCCAATGATTTCATTCTTTCTCAAAAACACTGAGCAACATCAATTTTTCTATAACTTAGACAGCATTTAAACTTAAATCAGGAAGTTTTTGGGTTTTACGTCATTTGACTTCTCACAAGGTTCCACATTTAAATAGAGGTAAGCCAATTTCATACCTCTATTGTTTATTTAATTGCTGATCACTGCACAAAGCAGTCACAATAAATGTTTGTCTTGCAAGAGTGATTGTACAAGTGTGCGGTGGGGGTGGCGATCGCAGAGCCAACAGGTGGTTTTATTTAGTTAAGTATGTAGGTAGTTTCTAAAATATTTTTAATTACGTTTTAGTTGAAAAAGTGCACTTATACACCCTTAAATTAAATAAGTTTATTCAAAACTGTAAATAACTTCATTTATCCTGCATAATATATACACAATATAATATTTAATTGAATAATATTTATATTGAAATCAAAGAATAACAGTTTCTCGAATCACAAAGTATTTATATTTTTCTACCGTTCCATTCTTAATTCATTTTGTTTCCTTACATTTTCACTGTTTTCTAATAATTGGAAATCAATGTTAAACGTCGTTAGGTTTTCTTTCATGGAAATAGTTCAGTTTTTTATTTACTTTGAAATCGATAAATTCTTATAGGTTATTTTATTTAGTTAAGTACGTAGGTAGTTGTTTCTAAAATAAATATTTTTAATTACGTTTTAGGTGAAAAAGTGCATTTGCACCCTTTAGCTATACCTAAAAGAAAATCAAATAATTTTAATATAAATAAATAAATTGAATTGAAGTGTATTGTAGTTTGAAATTACAGTTTTTTACTAAATGCATTTAAAAGTATATATACGGTACTTATTTAAAAAAAATCAAGTTTTTAAATTTTTGTCTGTCTATCTGTCTGTTTGTTCCGGCTAATTTCTGAAATAGCTACATCGAATTTGATGGAACTTTCACTGGCAGATAGCTGTTGTTACAAGGAGTAACTTAGTTTACTTTTATTTTAGAAAAAAATAGGGTTCCCAGAAAACAAAATTAAAACCAATAAAATAATGAACAACATCAATTCAAAAATAGGGATTATTTATTATTACTTTTTTTTAATACTCAAAGACATTTAAAAAGGCATTTCTTCATGGAACAAACGCGATGACTCATTTTTAACAAAAAAGAATTTATTCTTACTGACTCACTTTTAATTCTGTAAGAACAAACGATTTTTTTCGTTGCTATCGCAACCAGAGTTGATATGACCATAAGAACAGAAAAAAGCTTATTCTAAAAAAGCTATGAGCG